TCACACAGGTCAGTGCACACTTTGGTTAGGAATCCCCTCATGTTTGCCAACAATCACAGAAGTTGTTTTGTTCTCTTGAGAGAATTATTTTAATTCACAAAGGCTTTACAGAGAGGAGGCCAAAGTGTTTGGGATTAAATGGCAGTTATGTCACCCGATTCTGACATAATCAAGAGAACCATTTCTTTGTTCGTTGCAATGATAGTTGCAAATCTGGCCTTGTGTGGTGACTGGGGGCTGCTGCGGGGCCTCTGAATCCCTGGATTTTCAATAAAGAGCACCTGAAGAGTTTTCCACTTCAAACTGACAGAAAACATAATTTAGCTGCCTGGAGGAAACGTAATACTTCTTAAGGGGGTATTTATGTTTAACAAGTCTGAAGCCCTGCTAAGATTGGTTTACTATTGCATAGGTACGCTGTTGAAAAAATTACTGAACAGTCAGAGATATGACACAAAGTGCTCCAGCTGCAACCGTCATGCAGGTGATATGAATATCAAACATTAAATACAGAACATTATGACTTCCTGTACGGTTTCACCTGTACTTGCACATCAAGGTATTGGCCTGTGAAGGACTTCAGGAATACAGAGTGAGAAATATGGACAATTGATTACATTTTTAAAAAATGTTTTTGTCTATTTTTGTATATATTTGTTGCTCTTTTCTTAGGCATAATTAATCAGTTATGTTCTTGAAGCTTAATTTAACTGTTACATGCATATGCATTGATGCAAAGAAGGATCCAGTTTAAGTTGAATAATCTTTAAACTTAAAATGAATAAGTAATGATATCATATCTGCTGCATCCTGTATCATTACAGAGCAATTTGCATCAAGTATTGTATGCTAATTTCAGTTTTATTGAATTTTTTTTATTTTTAGATGTTAAACTTTTACTGTGTAACTGTGTACTTAAACTTGTAGCAAAAAAACATCTTTATTCATACTATACCTGCCAGCATTAAACAATTACAATTAAACATGAACATGTTTTGGCCATAATTAGTTGCATAACTGCTGTTAATTTAAAACAAAATCTAACTTATCTGACAAAACCCCAACATGCTTTGAGCTGAAATTGAATCCAAATAAAACTTTTTAACCCAAGTAAAGTGTTTCTGTCTAAATCCTGTCAAGATGTTTGTGAGTGTGATTAATTGTTGTGGTCATATAAAAAGGAATAATGATAGTCATTCGTTCTGCATTATGTCATTCTCACACGTGTGCAGAATTGTGTTTGTTGAGGGTCTAGAGATTGATTCTTTGCCTTTTAATCCTTTTGTAATTTCTTATGGTTCCTACAAAAACTCCAGATGCTGGCAGTGGCATGTGCGGGACCTGAGCGCACAGATGAGTCCAGATGTTACATAACCGCCTGCGGCTGTTTTTGTCTCAGACACACTGGAGTGCAGGTGTTTCTGACCTTTTATTTTGACCCCACATCACAGTCCTTGAGCAGACCACAACCCAGACGTCGCCTTTTCAGCAAATCTTTTATTTTTTGAGAAAACGTTATTCTGCTCTCATCTGTGATTTATTTTAGAACTGTACTCACAATGGCGGAAACAGGAGAAAAGTCACTGTAATCAGTGGTGGTGCTGGGGGGGGGGGGGTCTTTCATCTTAACTAAATTATACTTAACGCCCCAGAGGGGCTGGATGGCACGCGGATTGGGTGGGAGGGCCGACCAGATAAAGCATTTCAGCTTTTGAGCTCTGAGGTTTGTGGCTGTTTGTGGCAAATGGCCTGTAAGTGGTGAGCGGCCTTGGCACGTCGCTGTTTGAACTACTCTAGTTAAATACAGCGGTCGGGACTTGAGGGTTGGGGGGGGTTTGTCTGTCAAGGTTAATGCAGGAATCCTTTTTCTGCAAAAGGCGCTTTTGTGGTCTCATTAAAGAAGCAGAGCGTAAGCAGGCAGGTATTTTAACACCTGTGCTCTGTCATTATTCAAAACCAGTGTGGCAAACGATAATGGGAGCAGATTCCGAACCGGAAGCCCCCCCGGTCTGAAGATCTGGCCTCGCCGGGAACGTCGTATCCATTTGGTGATCGTTTTCATGAACACAGACGTACGCAGGCGTCTTCAAATGTCTCCTAAGACTCTAAAGTTGCAATTGCCCATTTTGTATCTTCCTTTATCACCGTGCACAACCTGGACAGGCCAAATCAGGGGATGTTTGCATAGGGTGTGGGTTAATAAACTGGTGAGGCAGTCAGCCAAAACATTTGTTACTATACATGTGAGTGTTTGTGGACAGGTGGCAGAGACCTGTGACAGCCTCAGCTGCCGTTAAGATGTTTAGTCTTCGGTGTTGCTGCTTTGTAATTGTATTAATCCATCACAGCGCACGCCAGGCTTTCATTGTCTGGAACCCTCAGTTTATGATTGACCTCCTGGATTAAATAAAAACCCCAAACTTTATAGAGAAGCCCATAAATGTCTCTCTCCGTCTCTGCGTGTTATTGTGTGCTGAAACAAACAGTGAATCACCCCGTACTTAATTCAGAAAATGCTCTCAGTGAACACATCTAAACAGACTGTCCCGTAAGTCGTTTGTCAGTCTATAACCTCGGCGCGTGGGAAAATGTTTTACTTTTCCATCCCAGAATACGTTGGAAAGCCTTTCTGTTTTAATGGAAATGTTTTTACATGGTGGGTAAAGGGAGGACACTCAGACATCAACCAAAAGTTTAAATGTGAAGGCATCGATCTGACGCAGGAATAACTTTTATTAGTCCTGTCCGATATTTGAGTGGTACACTTCATACACTGATGGATTTTAAGTCTAAAGCATGTGTACGGCGACTCTTTTGGAAGCAATTATTCTGTATATAAGGGCTAGAATGTATGGTGTGTTATGAATATCTAGCCTCCATCAAAGTGATCGTAAGGGGGACAAGTCATGTGCTGACTTCAGTCATGAGATGAATTTTAACACAAAATAATCAAGTCTGTGATGAAGTTTGATGGTAGAGGCCCACAGAAAGTATTTTCTGGATCATCTATCAACCAACAAAACCTAAGACTGGTTGTTGACTGGATCACTGCAGAAAAAGTGAAATAAAAAAAAAACCCTGATTGTCTCACTCACAAAAGCAAAGACAGGCTGGACAATTTTGACAACAATTTATTTTCTTAAAGCATGTAACAAAATATTTGAATAAAAACAGCCTTTCGCTTTGTACAACTAAGAAAAATGTTTACAGACAAGCAAAACTAAATTGTACAAAAATAATAGTAACATTGATACACAAAATGTCAAAAGGATAAAGAACAGAACATCCTCACGTCAGTGTGCAAACCGTTTATACAGACGGACCACCTCCTTTTGTAAGGCGGCGGATCCTGATAAATTATTTAAATAGTATTTATCTACACACACACACACACACACACACACTTACACACACACACACACATAGACAAATCGACCTCTCAAAAACAGCTAAGACAAACAGAACAATAATTTATCTGCTAAAAACTGCACTGGACATACATGGTAAAGCAAAGTCCTAAAAATGAAACCTCCCATTTTCACTGGTGAACATCACACAGAGAGCTCTGCTGTGTTTTCCGATTCCAAATGTCTTAGTATTTACAGCTCGTGCTACAGTAGCACTTTCGTGTCCATCGTTTCAAAGGAATTTGCAAAAAAGGAACTTCGGTCATGTTTTTCTTTCATCAGATTATAAACAGCATTGAGGTAATAATTGTGCATCAGATATTTCCTTTGTTTTGCCATCTCTCTCAGCAGAAAAGATACATACACTTCATACTATGTAGCCTAATTCACTTAGTACAGCAGGAGATGATAGAATTTTGAGCATGCATCCTGCATCTGATGATTACATGTACCTGATTTTAGATACATTCACAGATCACTGAAGTAAGATACTGTAATGAAAGAAATTTGAACTTTTTCAAAGTATTAAAATTTTGTTTACTGCCTACATTGTAGGCAAGAGTCAATAAATTAGATGTATTTACATCCTTTCATATTGAAACCCTCAAAGTTGAGGGAGATAAAACTCTTCAGTGATGTGATATAGGGAATCAAAGTGGGAATCCTGGCTTTGTGGTCACAGACAATTTAGAAAAATACTAAACAAAAACAAGCAATCCACTTTTTTTTCTATTGCTTTGATATAAGAAGATCATTGCTTCCATCTAATCCTGAGAATCAAAAACCAGACATCAGCAAGCTCGTGATAATTGTGTGTAAACTAGAACTAACCTACACTGACTGCTTTCTCTCCACTGAGACTCTTAGGTAGATAGGCTAAGGAAAAAAACAACAACTATTTGTTCATTCATGGCTAGTCTTTCACACTCACACTTCATACATAAGCTCACGCATCCATAAAACCATGTTCCCCTTATTTCTAACTCACTCTTTCAACAGCATTTCAAAGATGCAAATCCTTAACAAAAAATCATTTGGAGTTTTAATGCTATCTTCCTTTCAGTCCTTAAATGTTGTATCATTTAGAAACTTTATCCTGGCCAGTTTGGTAAAGAACAATGAATTTGAAGATTTTTCTTTTCTCTTTGGGATGTCCACACAGAAAGTAAAGTAGAAAGGCACACAGGAAATTAGACAGAAAGACAGAGATGTAAAGGCTTGGAAGTGCATAGTTTTCTATGAGGAACCGTTTCCTTGCAGAGATGAGTGAGGTCTTTCAGGGAGCTGGAAGGCAGGCAGACCTGGGACCGAAAGGTGTTGGGGTCCTATTTGTAAAAGTTACAGGGCTTGCTTTATTTGTTTCTCCAGCTCCCCCGTCTCTCTGAACCTCCACTGGCAGTCAGCTGGTCATTGGTGCTTTGCCTGAACCAACTCCAAGATACCCTGAGGCTGACCACATGCTCCGTCCGAGTGTGTGTGCCACAGAAGAAAGCGTTGCGGAGATAAATTGGACCCTGGACTTTCCAGGACAATATATGAGTTCTTACTTTATACAAAAAAGGTGCATTCTTCAAAGCTTTCTGCATCATCCGTTTATGCATCTGTTGAAAAAGAAGACACAGAGTAAGCAACTGAAGACTGGCCTTTGTGGAAGCAATAAAACCCCATTGAGTGTTTGAACGTAAAAAAAAAGCTTACCTCTGCATTCGTATTTGAGGTCTGAGAAGTATACCATTTCTTGTGAAAAGACAAAGAGGCCTAGCCTGCCGCCTGCATATGTCTTGTCATAGATGCTTCCAGAGTCAGCCATGATTTTCTTACCCTCGTACATCACAACTCTGCGGAAGACCAAAGGGTGCAAATGAGATCCTGGCACTTGACACTAAACTCTTGCAGAGAGAAAATATGGACATTGATGTCATCTGCCCACCTAATAAGTCCTGTCCTCGGCCTGTGGATCAGATGCCACCTGTAGGCAGTGAAGTCTTTCCATCCGACATTCTTAGGATCGTGCCACAGAGTACGCACCTAACAGATGAGGACATATACAAGCCATGGTTTTGCTTGCTTTACGATCCTCTTATCACACATTAATATCACCCAATACGTGACCCATCTTTAGCATACCTGTCCTGCGGTGTTGCCCGTGTGCCAGAGAGCATTTCTGAGGTGCTCCCCAGGGCCAGTGGTGGAGTTGACCACTTTAATGGACAGGCCAGAGTAACCCTGGGCCTTGGTGGGTTTGTTTGACCAGTAGGTCTGTGTGATCTGCTTCCACATCACGACGTAGAACCTGGAACTGGACTGGTAGCCGAATACAAAGCCGGCGTAATCGTCGTCCCTCTCTGTGTTGATGAAGAACGTCCCGCTGAAGTCTACTGAATTGAACTCGTGGTATCCTGTGTAAGAAAAGACAAAAATCAGCTGTGAATGTGCAGCTCAGCTGGTTTCTACACTGGGAAGCCCAGATGTGCTTTGCTATGAAACCATCAAAAGAGGACTATGAGGACTAAACTTGTGTGACCACCTCCATCCTGTTACCTACCGACTGCAATACCAGGATCACAGTTGACGGTCTGAACCAGCTCTTTGCCCTGATGGCGGACAACCCAGTTGGGATCAATCTGGGAGGTGCCTTTTGGATCCAGAGGAACCATCTGGAACTTGCGGAAGTCTGTCTCGCTGATATCGAAATTCTCCGGACACACGTCATAGATGTCAGGCACGTTATCCTGGTCGAAATCATCTTTGCAAGCGTCTCCACGGCCATCGCCTGTCAGAAAGAAATGTAAGTTCACTCAGAGCGCGAGGGCAGCTGTGTCGACATGCTGTCACAGCTCATTCCGAATTGAACCCACCATCAGAGTCCAGCTGATCGGGATTGAAGGCCAGTCTGCAGTTGTCTTTGTCGTCAGGGATGCCGTCGTTGTCGTCGTCGTGATCACAAGCGTCTCCCTTGCCATCTTTGTCATGGTCAGCCTGGTTGGCGTTGGGGATGTACGGGCAGTTGTCTAGATTGTTTTGGTGTCCGTCCTCATCAATGTCCTGGTTGCTGTCACACTTATCTCCCACACGGTCGTCATCCGAATCCAACTGCAAAAGACACAGCGTTTAAAAATGGCACAATGATTTACGGTAAGTCTCAGACGAATACTGGAACAGGCTTCCACAAGTTATGTTTGCCTTGCAAATGTTTTGAATATTGTCCTTTGTCTCTTTTCTTACTTTATTCAAAAGCATTCCTAAGGCTTTGTCTCTTTTTGTTTCTTTAAAGCTGCCAAGCTCAAATGACCCGAGATCAAACCAAACTCTGCAAATGTGCATTGGTAGAATTTCACATAAATCGAACATCTTCTGTTGATTAAGTTTGTAGCCTCTTCTGGCCTTCAAGAGCACTCTGCAGCTTTGACTTTGATGCTCCCCTCCTGCCCCCAATCTGGTCTTGATTCCTGCTGTTCACCACATTCCTATTTCTCAGTGTAGCATGGCACAGGTGGACGGAGCGGGCCTGTGCTGCGCTGACAGGGCATGCACATAACCCAAGGCCACCCCATTCCTCAGTAATATCCAGCCCAGGGCCTCTGTGCTCACATTAGTCAGCTAACGTCAATGGGCCATTGAAAAGACCCCCCCCCGCCCCCCACCATGCCCTATTGAACTAATATGCCCCTGAGCTGCATGGAGGATTTACGCCACCTTTACATGGCGTGATAAAGCTCACACAGCTACACAGGACTAATCACAGAAGCTCCATCTCAATTGAAAAACAGATATATGCTGAGCTGCAGAGAAAGGCAGGGAGCTGAATGTGGATTACCGATGGTGGGTGAGGTGGAAGGAAATGTGTCCACACACCTGATCGGGATTATGTTCCAGAGGGCAGTTATCACACATGTCTCCCACTCCATCCAGATCCGTGTCTCTTTGATCCACGTTGTATATGTAAGGGCAATTGTCCTTCTCATTCAGTATTCCTGGCAAAGAAGGAGAAGGAAGAAATCAGAGTCGCTCAGGAGAAAAACACACAGTGTGGCAGACACTCCGTTTCAGGAGGAATATTTCCATGAAAGTCTCTCGGTCTCACCATCTCCATCAATGTCAACGGCACAGGCGTCTCCCTCTCCGTTGTTGTCGGTGTCCGTCTGGTCTGGATTGCTGTTGTATGGGCAGTTGTCGCAGCGGTCCCCAACATCATCGCGGTCATAGTCGTACTGCCGGGGGTTGTAGATGAACGGACAGTTGTCCTGTTTCCAAAAGAGAAATGGGCAGTTGTCAGACGTGCTTGTCACTTGCTGTCTGAGCTTGTCAAATTACAGGGCAGGAGGAATGCAGGATGAAAAGGTGCTTTATCTGGAGGCCTTCTATTATATCTAATGTTGGGATTAGCATCCGTGCAGCCCCCCTCCCCATCCCCCCACGATTTGTGGCTCTCGCTCAAACAAGGGAGAAACATTTGCTTTCCTGATAAGATCCACCACTCATCTCTTGTTTGAAAGCATAAATGATGAGTGCAGACTCTAAGAAAACACACGTGTGCAGCTGTTTCAACAGACTTTTACTGACCCGGTCATCAGGAATGCCATCGTCGTCATCATCGTTATCGCAGGCATCTCCGATCCCATCCTTGTCATAATCTTCTTGCCCTGAGTTGGGGAGGTTTGGACAGTTGTCCTGAATAACAGAAAAAAGAACAATCAGATACAAATGACTTTGACTCAGTAACATTTCTTTTCATTTTGAATCCTTCCTAATTAATCTTAGAGCCTTGCAGTTGTATTGGTGCATACCTTTTTGCAATGGTAGGTAGCATTCTCCACACAAACCAGCTCAGCATTGGGCCATCCATCCAGATCCGTGTCTTCTCCGCAGATATGCCCGTTGCCAGCATATCCAGGCTTGCACTCACAGCGGTACATGGGATCTGCAAACTGCCCCAGGTAGTTGCAACGGGCGTTTTTGTTGCAGTCGTGGCTTCCATCGAGGCAAGGATTACGAGGCGTGCACACCTGTGAGACAAAGGAGCGGCGGGTTGGTGGATGGAAAGGTGACCAGACGAACACATTCCCAATTTTGTCCTCAGTGATTCTTCATAAGAATTTTGAATAATTCATTTCAACGTGGCTGTTTATGCTGGGTTCCACAGGCAGGGCTCCGCTCACCTGCTTGTTTGCAGCAGCTTGCTCCACTCCTCGCCCAAACGGCTGAGGTCCTGAGTACCGGGGAGGGCAGGGCAAACAGTTGTATCCTGGATCTGTATTCTCACAGCGGTGGACGCCGTTAAACTCGAAGCAGGCTCCTGGCACCTCTTTGCACTGTTTTTTTTGTGGGATGAAAACATTTGCGATCAGTAAACCGGAGAGGTCAAACCCCGCGTGCTGTTTCAGGAACCATGGCGCGCCATCTGTACCTCATCAACATCTTTGCACTTGATGCCATTCCCAGTGTAGCCAGTTGGACACTTTCCACACTTCCAGGAACCATCGGGGAAACTGGTGCACTTGGCCCCAGAAAAGCAGGGGTTGGACAAACACCCATCTAAAAACAACAACCCGTCTCATCATCAAGATCCTTCAGATGTGATTTTAAAAATAAGGTAAAGAACCACGCAATTGAAAAACATACCCATAAACAACTATAATAGGCTCTGTTAGCCATTATAGTGACTCACCAATTGGGCAGGCTTTCTTGTTGCACATCTGTCTGTCTACGCCATCCCCAACACACTCTTTGCCGCCGTGTCGTGGAGGCGGGTTGTTGCACAGGCGCTTACGAGTCTGGACGCCACCTCCGCAGGTGAGCGTGCACGTATCCCAGAGCGACCAGGGCCCCCAGTTACCGTTGACTGAAAGAGAAAAGAACGAAATGGGACCCTTTTCCTCTCCTCTCCCCTCCTCACGACGAGGAAATGCAAACCTGGAGTGGATACCGGAGGAGAGAAACTTACTGGGACACGGAGACTTCTGGCAGTTCTCGGTTTGCCGACCCTCTCCAGCACAGTCTTTGCCTCCCAGCTGAGGGGTGGGGGAGTTGCAGAGGCGGATGCGAGTGATGACGCCCGCCCCACAGGTGACTGAGCACGACGACCAGGGTGACCAGTGACTCCAGCTCCCGTCCTGCTTGACTGAGGGTGTTAAAACGAAAGGTCAGAGGGTCAGAGACTGAGGCTAAAGTGACTGTGAGCTGGCCCACAGCAGCAGTAGATTGGAACATCAGACCAGACTAGCAAAACAACTCAAATCCCTCTTATTTCACAATGCGATGCGCCTGACCCCTCGCTGATGGATGCTTTAATGTGTTACTCACAGCGCTTGTCACACTCCTGGAGGTAGCAGTCGCGGGTCTGCACAGAAGTGCCCTCGCAGTTGTTATTGATGCGGTCGCAAGAGCGCCCACGCTGCTGGATGCCCCGCCCACAAGACACGGAACAATGGGTCCATTCAGACCAGGGCGACCAGCCGTCCTCTGCAGAGTCGCTCGCTGAGCAGACGGGAGCAGAGAAGAATATGAGAAAAAGGGCAAGCGGGAAACAATAAAAGAGCTATTCCGGCCCCTCGCAAACACCCCCAAACGTAAATGAGGAGGGAAAGCTCCCGAAAGCAGATGACTATTAGACTGGATTCAGCTCGGACTCAGAGATGCAGAGAAGGTTCTCTGTTTGGAGCTAGAGCTCTGAGAGGAGCCAGAGAAACAGAAAGGCCCAAAGGGATGCCCATTGGTGTGTGCTTTCCTCAGGAGGAAATGGATTTTGACAAAAACACTGCCCTGGTTGTGTGTAATTACTTCAACAAGCGGCTTTGGTTGGAGTGAATCTGAGCCTCTTTGTTTATTTAGGTCTCAGGCAAGTTCTGAGACCAAGCCTGCAAACCTATGATGCACAAGTTACTTCTCCTATTGTGAATGAAGGCCTCGCTAACAAAAAAAAAACACCTGTCACCCTGAAAATGATTCAGTACCTGGTGCACGTGGAATCCAAGGTGTTGAATAATCAAGCAAATATCAGCCATTAAAGCCCAGAGTTTAAGAGATTCAGTGCTTACAAGAGGCAGTTGTTCCACACATATAATCTGTCATTTGCTTGGATGTTATTGCTTTAAAATCTTTAAATTTAGAAAAATTTCTCTTGAACAGAAACCCTCTTATACGGGGGAGTATTTGTGGCTTTTAGTTTAATAGGGCTGAAATAACATGTAAAGGCCTCTTTCAGCATTTGTGGCTGTGCGTGAATGCTTCATCTGTTAGTTTGAATTTATACGTTCTAGCCAATGGGGTCCATTTATGAAGGCTTTTACAGTACAGGTTTATGTAGATGGAAACTTTCCCATTGCTATGGGGACTATAACGACATCTATTGGACTGGAGAGGACAGAAATACATACGTGTTCCGCAGCGGGGGCAGCACTCGCCATCAGGAACAGTAGCGTTGGCACAGGGGATCAGAGGGCAGGATTTCTTGCGGCACACAGTAGCAGAGTCCTGCACAAGAAAAGTAAATTCAATTTAGTTTCAAACACACAATCAGATTTGTGAAAATCAGCAAAAAGGCCGCTTCGATTTTCTGCTACATTTAGTCCCATTGCTGCTCCGCATCTGTGTGAAAATTGCACTGAGACTATAGTAATCACGTTACTGCCGATCCAGGTTGTGCAAACGTTTTTGAATGGTTATTGTGTTCCCTTTTTTAATCTGAGATTCTGCCCCAAATAACTGATCCCATCTGAGGAAACCCAAGACCCCTGTGGACAAACATCTGCCCACTGGGCCGGGGATAAGTGGGCGTGAGCCGGTGTCCTGATAATGGATGGTGTCAAACTGGGCTCTGGGCCTCAGACAAGTAAAGCTAGCCTTTCAGCAAAAACCTGTGAATGAGTCAGCGTGCATGCTAATGCTTTCCCTCCTGGAATTGATCACTGTCGGGGAATAAAGAGGAAATCAGGACATGGAGCCCAGCGGTGGATTGCACGGAGCTTCCCTGCCAAGTGTTTTGCTCCTTGAGCCATCCCCTTCTTTGTCAGAGCCAAACTCTTGTTCTTAATTATGGGCATCGCATCGCTTAGACTCTGGTTAAGTCCCTGAAGGCCACACTCAAGCTCAACGTCTCGCAACAGACGTGTCATTACAAAGTAAAGCCTGTCGGCCCTCTGCCAAGAGGCAGCACTCCTAATTACTGACCAGATCGGATGGGACGGCGCACACTTCAGTGGGTGACATCTTTATATGAGCGTGTGTGTATGTGTGTGTGTGTAAAAACTGGTCAATGCATCCCCTTAACACGTGTTTTGAGCATTCAAGACACAATAGCGCAGATGGTGGCGCAGCTGAGGGCTCACCTGACAAGTGCACTCAGTGCAGTCGTCCACAGTCCATTCGTCTCGGTTCTTGCGTACAATACCGTTGTGAATGCACACGCCATTGTGAATGCCGATGCGATTCTTAATCAGATTGTTCTCATCCGTCTGGGGATGTGGGGAAGGAAGAACGGAACAAAAAAAAAAGATTACCAGGGCAAATGTAGAGAAATGCCACATTGAAACCGCTAACATAATAATTCTGGATAAATAAAGACATTAAATCAACAAATCCTGACAATTGTGTTTGACTTAACTTATCTTTGTACATAAATATCAGATTTTTGGGCAGGTATGCACTCATGGTGATGGTAGTCCAGAAACAGCACACTTCCCAAGTAAACACACGTAAATTCTAGGTTTCCTCCTTACCAGCTGGCGGAGTTCATTAGACAGCTCTTTGACTACCACACCAAGGCCTTTCAGCTCTTTAAACATGCTGATCAGATCCTCGCAGGAAAAGCCGCACACCATCTGTAGGTCTTTAGAAAAACAGACCAAAACATCATTAAATTCAATCCCTCGTCCGATGAATCAGATAAAAGACTGATCAAACCAGAGGGAGAATATCACAACGCTCAGATGCCAGAGTTAATTCTATGGAATTTACCTTTGGTTTTGTGTCCGGTAAACTCTGTTCTGATGGCAGAGGAGCCATTCAGATTTTTCAGGATCATGGTCTCACTTGTTACCGCTGAAAGACAGATGTCATAATCTCACATCTGCACACTGATCAGCATCACTAACGTATCAATAAGGACAGCAATGTTTAATTAAAGTTACCAGCACTCAAATGACTGTAACACATTATTGGATAATACACCACAAACTATTTTGAGACCCCAGTTCTCTGAGAACTGGCACGAATAGGCATAGCTTCCTGGTAAAGACTTGTTAGGACTTGCAAACATATGAGGCAGATGATTATTAAGCACACAAGGCATCTCGGTTCGATTACTTACAGCTTTGGCATCCTTTGTTGCGGAGGATGGCATCCAGAGTGGTTCCAAACACAAACCGTACGTTTTGTAGCACCCCCTGCAATAATCAATGCTTAGTCAAAACCAGACAGCAGAGTCAAGAAACATTAAACTGTTCATCACCGCACTGTTGTGAGTCATAAAAATAAGTGTTCTGCACTTTTGCGCATTTGAACACCACTCCTTTGTTTTGGACAGATACTCTGACATAAACATAAGTGATCTGACAGCCTCGTACAAATCCAAATTCCCTCTCTAAACTTTTCCCCCCTCCGAACAGCCCCTGCTCTCACCATGAACCTGTCCTTCACCGCTCCTTTGCCAACCCTCAGCTGCGCGCCGGCCGGAGTCTCGTGCGTCAGGATGCTCTGGATCGGCGCGTCCAGCTCGGCGGTGTTCACCTCCTCGCATCCCGTGTACAGCTGTGCCCGGTCCTCCTGGACGAACAGCGTGATGTTCTTCCAGAGGCCAGTAGCCAGACCCACGTCCTCGATGGAGACCACTTGTTGCTTGTTCTCTGTGGAGTAAACTATGTCCAGCGTGTTCGCCTTGCCGTTGGAGACGATCTCGAACACGGGCCCGGTGCCGTCCCGCTTCTCCACGGTCAGGAGGCTGCCCCGGGTCCGTTTGAACTGCTTGAAGTTGAGCAGAAGGAGAAACCCCCGCTCTGCGTTGATGGAATCGATCAGGTCCCTAAAGGCGCTCTCGGGGACTGGGGGGATCAGGTCCGGGTTGAAGATTTTGTAGGCGGGACTGTACGGGTCGTCTCCCTTCACCAGGGTTACCCCATGATTCTTACTGGGGACGCGGATGAGCTCAAACAAGTCATACACGCTGTTATCATCTCGACTCTCTGCGGGGATAAAATTGGTACAAATAGGAAAAATAGGAAACATCTATGACGTTTCAATTGATTTCTGTATCGTTAACAAAAACAAAAAACAAAACAAAAACAAAACTGAAATGATAAATTCTGTCTTAATAAACTAAATCAATGAATTTGTCTCATTACTACAAAAGAGAATTCACAAGATCAGAATTTGGTCTTAAATGTGCCAAACTCACCTGCGACTCGCGCGCTCTCGCAGGTCCAAAGCATGAACAACAAAAAAATCCCGGTCAGCTTCATGGTGAAACACCAACCTGCTGGCTGTGACAAAACGGACAACCAGCGTCAGACAAAGTGCAAGAGCTTAAATTCAGAAGAGATGAAGCAGAAATCCCTGGTGCAGCCTCCTACACCTGCAAAAGTTTTTGCAACTCACCTGTAACTCAGTCAGAAAAGCGCAAAAAGAAAGAGAAAATCCCCAAAAATATGTAAAAATCCAACAATAATCCTGAGGAATGAATTTGTGTAAAAAATTTTTAGTAAAAAAAAAAACACCTTTAAAAAAAGGGAGGATTTTTTTCCCCGTGTTTTCTGCCTTCGTAATTTGAAATGTGGCTCTTTACTTATCAACTGCTAAAAAACTCCCTTTTAAGCCGAGGGGGGACAAAGTGCTATTTAAATAGTTTAATGCCCATTCCTAAGAAGTGGCTTCGTCCAATCACGACGAAGGGAGAAAAGGGACGAGCTTATCCTCTTTGCTCAGAGAGGGAGGGTGGAGGGTGGAGGGGAGGGGTGGGGGTGATGGGGGGGGACGTTTTCCTCTACACAGGATGAGGGACCAACTTCAGCATGCCGCCCTCAGACTCTTAATGGACCAGTGTTTCCTCTCTCAGGGTCCATCCATCATACCTCAGAGGGGTTTCCACCTCACAGAGACCATGAGGGACATTTTTGGTTATTTTAATACTCCACATAGCTGGGGCGTCTATTTGCTGCTGGAAGTTAAAACATCATAAAAGTTGCAAAAGATTAAACAGACTTTTGTTCCATGTGGGTTAAAAAAAAGGTAATGATAATCCTCCTGAGGTATTATCATGCATAAATGAAGTTGTGACTGTGTGCAAATAAATAAATGGTTTAATCAATACATATTTAGGCTTGTGAATTTAAGTGTTATTTTCTGGACCCATATCATCACGTGAGCAGTGGCCAGCCCTGGTCAGTGCTCTGTGGAGTCTGACTCACCACTAGAGGCCGACGTGAGTTTACAGCAGAGCTGCCTGAGGGGGTCTGAGGTGGTGCAGCTTTTTTACCTGACTTGAAATGTGAGATTCCGGGCTTTTGTGGTGATTTAGATTTGAAATGATGTGCAGAATATGATATTCAGAGTATCTCTGTAATGACTGCTCTGGGATCATTCGGTTTCTAACGCGCGGTTGGGGGATGAACATTACATTTGATGCTGACTGAAACACAGACAGTATCTCAGTTTACTTTTTTTTAAGGAAAAAAAAGTGATCATGGGTTTGAGACTGTATTGAGCAACTATTGTAGATGTCTTGGTGTTTTTTACTATGTCGGTTGAGGGGCCCTGAGAACATAACTCCAAATAAAAAATGGCTTAAAAAATTATTTCACAAAGGACAGCAACAGGTTACACAGATAATACCCAAAAGAACATCACTGACAAATATGTATCACAATTAAATCAGATAAGAGGTTTAAAAACAAAAAAAAACAGCAGTATCTTGAAGGTCTTTATGTGGAAACTGTACCAAAGCAAAGCCAATGGACGAAGAGCAAAAATAGATCAGTCTTTGACAGATGAGTTATTCCTATGAGATCCATATAGCAGCTTCATTTCTTTATTTGATTCATAAAATGCATTCTTCTACATGCGGTAGCAGAGTGTTCAGAGCTTTGTGTGATAATTGTAAAAGCTGGTTCAGATGTCTGGGGATGGAGCCGTACCCTGAGGGGTCCTGAGGTCAAAGCCGAGCTGACTCCTGTGGTGCCGGAGAGTCTGTCTCAGATGGGGACTCTGGTCGGGACTGCAGGTAGCTTGTTTCGGCCTGTGGTGGAGAAGCCCTCACCGCCTCGGGTCTGCACGACGGTCTGCAAAAGCCTGATAAGGATTTGTCTGGATAGGTGTTGGCGGGAGAGAGAGCAAACGGGCCGACTCCTGTCTGAGTGACGCGCGGTTTCGGGAGCTTAGATTTACAACACGTGCGTTTGCTTTGTTGTTATTTGTTAGCTCGGCTTCCGAGGAAGACGGAACATCCTCAGAGGACAAAAATGTGCTGCTGTTTCAGGAAATCTAAATAAAAACATCAAGGGGAACGTTTGTGTAAACACACACGTCGAGGCGCAGACTGTGGTGCAGATGTGTCTGCACATCTGCACATGCATGTGCGCACACACACACGCTTTAATTTCCCTTTCGTTCCTGTTCTGTGCGACATGGAAAACATAAGGTGAATGGAAGAGAAGCAGAAAGGAGGAACAGTGGAAGGAAAGGAAATGAGAAACAAAGAGAGGCTTAAAGAGGAAAAAGAACCAATGGGAGGGGGAGAGCATGAAGACAACAGGGAGAAACAAGGAGAGGGCCTGAGAAAGAAAAAGCAAGAATAAAGCAAGTGGAAAAGAGAAGCGAAAGAGGCAAAAAGAGAGAAATGCAATGAAAACACAGCAAATAAATAAGCTGAGGACAATAAAACAAATCAGCAAACTGTGACGTGAACAGAAAACGATCAGTGAGGATAACAAGCTGATGAATGGTAGAAGGAAAGGATACATGAAACAAAGATTAGAAGAACCCACGATCAGAAGTTGGAAACAAAGAAAAAATTAGTGAGGAAATAATCCCAAAACTGTCAAGTAAACGTAAGGAATGAGAAAAGAGGACAAAAAGAGGACGAATTAAGAGATCAGAGCATACAGTTGAAAAAGATGAAGAGCAAAGAAAAAAAACCAGGAGAGGAAGGACAGCCGTTGCACAGCTCTTTCACACGGTGGGAATCCCCCGTCAGCGGCCGCCTCCTGTGAGTCAACGGACAGGAAGTCGCCGAGTAACATTCTGTGACAGCTGAAGCACACTTTCCGTAACCTCTGTCCTTCCCTCTGGCCTGTGGTGGGCGCAGAGCTCCAGCGTCCCGGCGGGTCCCGGCCTGGCCCCGGGACCGCCGCCTGCTGCCTGATTGTGCGACACGCCTTCCTGCTGGGAGCCTGTTTTTTGCCCTGCTGAGTCAGCGGAAATCTGAATGCTCGGCCCTCCTCGGGGTCTAATGCACACCTGAGTTTCTGTCGCGCTAGCTTGAAAAAACACGGATACATGATTGACTGCGTTCCAGATAACAGTTGATGGTCTAATTTGTTTGGTATTTATACATTGTTTTGGACGTCTGCGTTCCAGCGGACTGATTATGACGTCTTGCTTTAACCAAACTGAGAGAAACTCCAGGCCCCGTTCAACCTGAGCGGGACTAAGACGTTATGAAAACCGATGACTGGATTACAACTAAAAAAAACAACAGAATCTTCTTTTTCTCTTGTGGGGTGTCACATTTACAGCCTGTGTTGTTCTGAATTTGACCACTCGGTATAAACCGTGGCCTAAAGTTTTTTTCTCCCATGCTGTTTTCGATCGATTCATTCATTCATCACAACAGGGGTCATAAGTCATAAGTCAGAAGGCCTGGTGCAGACGTGTTGATTTGTAAGGTGCAGGACACCAGTAGGAGAATTGGAATAACAACCGCAGCGTGTCCCAGAGAGGTTGTTAGACGCTTTGTGACATGTGGCCCCGGAGTTTGTTGCCACAGCTCACAAATGCACCAAAACAAGCTATGTTTTGCCTTTAAAAACAACCCCTTTGCGGTCTAATTACATTCTTCCGAGGGAAGCTGCCATCGCTGACACGCTCATGCAGACGGTTCCAGAAACAACCAGCCTCCCGCATGACCTCGGTGAGGATTTTTCTGCAGCGAGACGTTTGTTTTGATCCTGCACATAACCTTTTTTTTTATCCTCAGTCAAAGGCTGCATATTCTTCATAAACTCACAGGATATGATTAGCCCATCGTAACTCCATGCATCTTATGCTGGTGACAGCATTCTTTCGTAATCTGAGTAATTTTGTGTTAATGTTTTATACTTATACAGAAGGAGAAATGAGACACAGGTTGAAAAATAGCGGAATTTTCCTTCCAGCAGCAGTAAAATATCGCAATGAATGTATTTCCATTTTTTTCTAATTTCAGAGTATTTGGTTTTGGACTCATTAAAACTGCATGGCGAGACAGCCTGACATTTTCGATCAAAACAAAAATATAATATTAGTTAAGCGCATTTGCTTATTCCTTTTTGGGGGAAAGATTGTCTGTATTTACACACTGCCTATCACGATTACTGTATACCCAACACTACACTAAGAAAAACACTCTCAACCCCCCCCGGCCTCTTTATGGCAATTAACCAACACAAAGCACACTGACGCAGAGCCTTACAGGCCAAGCCTTTCACATATACATTCTCTTGTCAGCGCAACCTTTGTCTTACAAAAATTAAACTTGCCAGGCTTTCCTGACGAATGTGAGTCGCGTTTTGACTGAAAGTGCAGCATCTTTTTTTAATCCCCAGTCACAAAGGGGCAGTTTGCTGTGTAGGTCCGTTCTGGACAAATGCAATTGGATCGGACGCATTCTTAAAAAAGATCATTTACGAGCAGCACAGGCCCTCAAATGACCACCTGTGTGGTTCTGTAACTTGAGTTTGCCCCCCTGCTATCAGTCATTTCTAATAAAGTACTCACTGGAGTGTTCACCCATGACATTAGTGTCTGAGGCAGGATCATTAGCTTAGTCCTGCATATGGCAAATGGCACTGGTCGCCACAGGTTCAGCTGCTCGGTGATTTCTAAATATCTATTAGAGTCTAGGAATGTATTCTTGATCCAGTTCCATCTTCAGCCTATTAGGTGGTCACGGTGTGCCAGCCTCTTTTCATGGGCTGCCATGGACAATGTAATTTGCATTCCAGAGCTCAGTGGGATGGAGGAAAGAGACGTTCGGGCGTTCTGATTCATCTGATATAATTGCTGCTGAGAGCGTAACTGCAGATTCTATTTAATTCTAATGGGGCCTCCAGTGAATGTTTTCCCCAAATTTGGCAAATTAGCACACAGGCCTGCTTCGACCATCAGGAGAGTCACAGCTGTCAGGCAGCTGTTTACTGTTAAATACAAATCAGATTAATTTTAGAAAAATAAGGCAGACAACAGTGCAGGAAGAAAAAAAAAAAAAAACTTCTCTGACTCAGATGCAAGTTCATGAGCAAGTTGCGGACGTTGTGTACGACAAAGGATGAAAATAACACCTCATTTAAAAAGATCTATCTGTCTGGCTTTGGGAATCTCACCATCAAGTCATCCTATGCCAAAAATAACCTATTTAT